TTAAATAAATTAAAAACTTCAAGTACTAATATTCTTGGATTCTATAATATGCACATATCAGAAACTTTGCATGTTCCCATTGGTTGTATATATGATTATGTTATTTAATCTTTTAATTATATGTCCAAGTTGTATAATAATAGTGTTTAATATCTCACATATTATACCACTACAATTCATATATGTTTCAATCATAAAACATCATAGTAACATCTATTGTAGATTATACTTTTTCATTTATTGGTATATACTGATACCTTTTGAAATGCTTCGCAGAGATCCACGAAGGGAATGCACTCTCTCAACAGACGAGTTGATGTAAGCAGATTCCAAAGCTGTCAAGATTAAACGGGAACTGTTAAGACTAAGTACCTCAGCAACAACCTCTTCAGTGAGAGAAGAGTTAAGTAGAATAACAGCCCGTTTTAGAACATTATATTAATTATAACATTATATAAATGTTGGTGCATCTATGCTAATAAATTCACGTTTTTATGTTGTTTCTTTTACCTAGTTTGGCACAATTGTGAGTTGAATGTGGTATTTGACAAAAAATTAGAAATTTTTAAAATTTTAAATATATATTTTTTTTAAATAAAACAAAGTTAGCTACGGAATAGCTACGGATTTCCGTAGCTATTTATTTCCGTAACTATTCCGTAGCTATCCACTTCCGTAGCTATTTGGTTCCGTAGCTATTCCGTAGCTATTTAATTCTGTAGCTATTCTGTAGGAAATCCGTAGCTATTTATTTCCGTAGCTATTCCGTAGCTATGGTAGCTACGGAAAATTTCGTAGCTATTCTGTAGCGATTCCGTAGCTAATCCATAGCTATAATTTTCCCACGGGCCATTATGCTACAGACATTTTTCCGTAGCAATTCCGTAGCTATCCGCTTATAGCTACGGAATAGCTACGGATTGTGCTGTAGCTATTGCACCAGTTTTCTAGTAGTGACAAGAATATCTGCTCCGGCCCATTTTGAAGAGAACCGGTGGAGCTTATCAACCCTAATGGCTCGCAGGATTTCTTCCGACGAATTTTCCGGTGGGTCATCGATGACTACCAGGAAAGGGACTCGGTAATACTCGATGGTTAAATTGTAGTCATGAAATCTGATTGAAAGGAAGCCTTTGTGTTTGGTTATGGGGTTTCCATGCTCTTCGTATATTGTGGAAAGGTTTGAGACTCCATGAGAAAGCATGCATAGTAGAGACTCCCATTGGTTTCTTCCGATGGAGTCTCCGGCGAAGACTATCCGTCCATTTCTGCTTCTTTCAAGAAAATCTCTCGCATCAAATCTGTTCCCACAGGCATTACGATATTAGTTTCAATTCGTTTCTACAATCGGTATGAATGTTCAAACACATACTATCTACTTTTTGGACATATATAGAATCCGAAGACACGACATACGATTGAATGCGATAAAATGATTCATTAATCATAAGATTCGATCAAAATGCAAGATTTCAAAAGGGAACAGTAAGTTTGTCGAGGGATTAGTCTTTTGCCATGGTTGGTCGATAGTTCACTGTTCAAGTCACTAGTCTACTGAAAAAGTTCTTCGTTTTGCGAGCGAAAATTCCCTTGAAAAATGTATTTGGTCGGCGAAAAATCTTATCCTAAGTAAGATCCACAGCAAGTATGCTTTTCTTTACCACATAGTTCCAGGAATATGAAAATAATAACGAGAAAAGAACAAATGGATACAATTAAAATCATTAGGCTTCAGAGCTAGAGTAAAGGTTTCATATAAGTTTGTACAGTTTTGATTGAATCGAGATAATATATATAAATGGAAAAAAAACTATATTCATAACGTGCGATGTATGCATTTAGTTATGAGCATTAACTCTTCATCCATGGAAACTAACAATCGCTACCTCGAAATTCATATTTTATACCAAATAAAACTTTAAAACAATAAAAAAAGCCATGCATGCAGTTTAATATTGCTTAATCTACGAGTTGAAAACTCTAAACAACACCCATACCTGGGTAGATCGCACCCATGCGGTTGCCATCGCCAATTGACATACCCAACATCCCGGCGGCCATTGCGATGGCACCGGAATCCCGGATCAAGAAAAGGACAATCTTCGTTGTACTTTTGGTTAGGGTAAGTTTCATCCCAAACCCATTTCCCAAACGAATAATCGCAGGTGTTTGTGGATCCTGGAAGTTGGGTGTCGGGTAGGTTTTTGGAGAAGCTAAAAGGAAGAAGAAGATGAGGGTAGAAAGGGGTTAGGAGGTTGCAGAAAACAATGGAGGATATGATAAGAGAGATGAAGAGAATGAGTGCATAGGCCACGTCTTTTTTAGTGGGAACGGGTAGAATGAAAAAATGGGGTAGCTTTTGGGGTTGAGTTTCCTGACGAAGATCCATTAGAAGAGGAGGATTGGTTGAATGAGGGAAATATTAGGTTTTCTTTTTGTTAATTTTAAAGGGCTATTAATCGGTAGGGGGGAGAGAGACATAGAGATTTGAGTAATGATGTTAGTTTTGCATTTATTGGAGATAATTTGCATCTAGGCCCTTTTATATTCTTACGTATTAAAATGATGCCTAAAACTTGTAAAAAGTTCATGAGTTAGAGTGGTAACGAACAATGAATTATGAATTTGATTTATTAATACCTTGTGGTTAATGATACTTACCGATAGAACGTTATGTCATATCTAATTGTTCTTATTGATTTTATCTTTCCAAGTCTTTTTGTCGTAACAAATAGAACAATTCGTAGCCCGCTGGGATCATCTATTCGCTAGAAAAGAAAAGAAAAGAAAAGAAAAGGAGGGAGTTCCTATGGGGTAGTTTGAATGACAAGGAAAAAATGTGGCTTGGAGCAAAGTTACTGCCCTAAAGAAATGGATGGGCTTGAACTTGGTTCATTGAAAGCTCTCAACACATAGAAATAGAGTATGCAATCACACAATTCAATCTCAATTTAGTTACCGTTGCATTATGGATTCACAAATACAGTTATTGCTTTAGTTTGCTCAATGGTTTGACTCACCTACATATATATTCGTTTGTTATAAAGTGAAGGAGTCTATGGTATCACATGTACTAATCTTAAAATAGATAAATCACTTCAAGTATATCAATACTTAACATTTTTGTCCAACTTGGCTATGTCAAAATCACATCTTAATGTTAATAGTATATGGGAAATGTACATGATGTACATCAAATTCTACGTAATACTGTGAATTTGCTATTATCATAATCCTAAACTCTGAACCTGGGTTCATATCTTCCACATATGAACCATCCGTGGTGAAGAGCCATAAGATGAACCACATCATACCTGAATTCGAGCCATCAAGAAGAAACTTTTAAACCCATACATGCATCTGATCATACGTCTTCACTTATCTTCATCATGTGCTTTTTTTTTTTATATTTTGATTTTAGCATGAATAGTTAGCCATTCTAACTATTCGGTCGACCTTAGACCTATAAATTTGAATACTCACAATTTCCTTACAAGAAAGAATCTTTGTTCATATGGAAATGAATTGCTGCATTTTGTCAAGTGAGAAAGTTTATGATGGGTTTTCCAAAAGCAATATTACTTTGAAAAATATTTCCACCAACACTAGGTTTTTATATTTAATAAACTTATTACTCCACTTTTTATAAATCTTGGTTAGACCAGCGAGTTAATCCAACCAAATAAAGTGACATGATTTTCCTCAATGTTCTCGAAAATAGATATTCTTGTAGTTGTGTTGTGTGCTTGTGTGAAATATAAATGGATTTTTCATGGCACACATCTCGCGCATGATACCTTACTTGGTTAGTCAAACATTAGAATCAAATTGTTTTGGTCTATCATCAAAACAAAACTAATTTTATGTTGATGGTGAAATTGAGTTTTTATTTGTTTTGTAATACTGTTGAGAACCATGGAATTGCTCTATCCTAATAATGGGGGTGCAATTATGTATTCATATTCCAAATACAAGACTGAGGAATGTTAAAAATAATTATTAAATTCGACTATTGTATTTGAAACACTAGAATTTAATTACTTGTATTGTTTGTTATCATAGGTTTACACCATGAAAAAAGGAAGAGTATAAATATTACATATCAATTTCTCAAGGTAAATGGAGTATCTAAGTCATAATTTCTTACAAAAGGTAAGATACAAAAGATCAGAGATACGATCTTCTCGTTGAATGTTCTTCATCAAATCTATGGATGTCTATTCCATGGCTTGTTTTAGCATTTTACTATATATTTTTGTTTGCTAGTAAGATGTAGTATTTTGTTAGTTTGTATGTTTATGTGTATATAAATGCATCAAATTATATAAGTTTATGATAGACTGAGGATAAGCTATTTGTCTTATATCAAGAGATATAGGATATTCTTGATTTTATAACAAGTAATAGTTCAATGTTTTTTTTTCAATTCCAATGATAAGTTGGAGTAAAGAATGTATTCATGCTTATCACTAGAAATGAGTTTTTGTAGGCTTATATGCATTTTTATGTTATCCCACATCGGCAGAGGATAGAAAGTAATAAAGAGACGAGGTGTATAAAATAGAAGCTAGGCATACGAATTACTTACTTACCTGGATGGGGTCAATGGTTGGTCAAGATGGACCATGGCCTAGAGTAGTGACTTTCATTGCACTTTGAAAGGGTGCTGCTTTAAGGTCCGCCCAAGTGGTCGAGCCTACATCATAATTTGTGACAGAGAGGGCTTGTGTTTGCGCAGCCCCTACCAAATATTTAAGTTCAAATTTTTTGTTTTCTTTATTTTGTAATGAACAAAATAAGTATACATTGCTAACAGCATTATCTTCTTGATTCTAGTTGATAATATATGTTTTATTAATTTGAATTGATGTAATCAACGACCTTATAATACAAATTATGATAGTCTTTAATCACATTTTGATGTGCAGGAGTAGGACTCTGGCAAAAAATGTTCCATATAATCCATCAACATAATTTTTCTATTAGATAGGACTTAGGAGGGTTGAGACTGGTGGGCTAACATGTAGTTTTAAGTAAGTGCTATGTATCAATTTATATTAAAAATAAATTATGTAATGAAGTGAATTATAATTTGTACAGCCGTACTTGGAACTTGGAACGAATATGAAGTAACTACCAATCCTTTTTTCTCTTTTGAGTTGCTTTGTTGGATCCACAGAAGGAAGAAGACGAGAACGCTTGGAACAAATTATTTGATATATCAAAGATGATGCTCATGAAACAAGGGTTTAAAAGAAAACGAAAAAAACTATACATCCTAATTTTAAGCAACTATCCAAAGAAACAGGAATTCAGGAGGGATGAAGACTACTAGACAGCAACGCCCCTTTGATTTATCCAACAATCCTTGGGCTAATTCTGGTAGCGGGCTGGCAATATCTGGTTCCTTTTGGGCCGGCTCTCAACAACTTGGCATGCTTGAGTGTCGATGTCCACAACATTGTATTACCCTTCGACTATGACCTTGTCCTCGGGTAGCTAGCAATACTAAGAAAAGGATAGTTGCGATGCATTGTTGCAAGATTCACCCATGTTACCATGTAGCTTCGGCATTAGTGGTACCCCAGCACTACAACAAAAGACACCATGTAGCTTCATCATCAGTGGTACCAATACTACAAGAAAAGACCCCTATACCGACGACATCTATGCCTATGACACATGTCGCTACAACGTATGCTATACCGACGACATGTTGTCGGTATAGGGTTGACCAAATTTGTTTGGGTATCTGGGTATCTGTGCCGATGACATGTCGCTGTCATAGCTTAGGCGGGAATGAAAAGGGTTACACGGTTTTCTCATGTCGTCGGCATAGGTTACGGAAAATATAATTTATATTTATCTATAATTCATGTTTGCAGAAAAGAAAAAGACGTTTGTTGAAAGCTATCCCAACGGCATGTTGTCAATTCCGACGACTTGTTGTCGGAACAAATATTTATTTATTTATTTGCAAGTAGGATATGGCGCCGTTTACTTTAACCTAGTAACGACGATATGTCGCCAACATAGGGTTTAATCTCAAGTAATAGGTCAGTTGAACCTCATTTGCAGCTGCACATCCACACTCATTCTCTCTCGATCTCTCCACCATGGATTCTACACCGACGACCCTTCGAACACTCTCCTTCACTACCAACCACAAGTAACTTCTATGTCACTTCTATTTTCTAATTTCATTTTTTTCCGGTTCGATTTTGAGATTTTCATGTTTTTTTGCTTTATTTCCCGATAAGGCAGTCACCGGAGGACCATCGACGACGACATCGAGTTCCAACCACTCTCCTTCATCGTCGACCACAAGTAGTTTTTTGTGATTTTTCAAGTTTATTTATTTATTTATTTTTTTATTTGGGGTTTTTTCAGTGACCACCGGCCAGCACCAGAGGACCACCGTCTACAACCCGCCACTGAATTTCGGGCACCATAACAGGAAGAATAGGTAAGGTTTATAGCTTTTTATTTTAGTTTTGTCTTTGATTAGGTGATGTTTTTATGTATTTAGAATCTTTGATTATGTAATTGTTGATGATGACCGGTTATTTTGGATGTATAAAATATATAATATGTAAGATTGTGTTAGTTGTTTAGGTTTACTAGTTTGAGTACATATAAGATGAAGTGGAAAAGTGCTTAATTGATTAGTGTTTAAAGTGTTTCTATTTAATTTCATGATAAGTGCTTAGTGATTAATTGATAAAGTGTTAAATTGATTAAGTGCTTAATTGATAAGTTCTTAACGTGTTTCTATTTTCATGATAAGTACTTAATTTATTTTGTAAGTGAATGCTTAATGAATAGTTGTTATTGGTTTGTATTGTAAAATGCTTAATAGGTAAGTGTTTAATATGTTTTTATTTTCACGATAATATGGTTTGCAAGTGCTTAATATTTTTAATGACTTAATTGTAATCATTATGAATTTAGCTTAATTAGGTAATATGATTAATTAAAGTACAATGTTGTAATTGAAACAAAACAAAAGTAAATTGTTACAATAGAAAAAAATAAATATATATATTTAAAGTACAATGCTATAATAGGAAAAAACAAAAATAATATAAATATAAAAAAGAAGTGAAAATAGAATACTTTATCAAACTAACTAATAAAAGCATGTTGCAATTAAAGAGCCTAACTACAAAGGTTATTAATTGAAACATACTTTTATTAGTTTGCTTATTAAATCATTCTATTTTCACTTATTTTTCATATTTATAATAGAAAAAAACAAAAAAAGTATTTAAAATACAATGTTATTATGTATAATCTAATAAAAATACATTGCTATTAAAGAAACCTAACTGCAAAGGTATGACTATAATTAACAAAAAGATGAAATTAATAAGAAATTAAAATTAAACGGTACATTATTTAAACCATAATATTATGTATTATAATAGTAAAAGTACGATGCTATAACAGAAAATAAACAAAAGTTTGATGCTTTAATTAACAGTACGAAAAGACGTTGAA